TTCGTGAATGTGGCGATATTAATTGAACGTACTGTTACACAACGGTTGCAACTGAATACACTGATAGATAACCTTGAAACTAACTACAGGATATACGAGAGCGTTGATAAATGATAACCTTCTTCATACGCCATCAGTTGTAATTATGTAATGTTTATCGTTATTTTTTCTTTTCTCGATATTTCAGTAAATCTGGACTGTAATATGCTGAATAAACAACAGAATACATATAACATAAATTTAAAATTAATTTATAAATATGTAAATATTGCTAATGCAAATAAATGCATCTAAAAAGTTATTCAAATACATTCAAAAACATAGCTGCTTATTTATTGCTGATGCTGGCATTTGCGATAAGATTACAAGATCAATTTAATATTTTATATTCATAGTTATTAATATCACTGATAAATCAATTGGCAAAACTTCTTATATTATTGACGAATTTGAAATACGTTATGTTTGTTTATTCAAATTATTATTGATATGATTAATTTATATTCTAATACACAATAAAACGCGATACTGCGTTATTTATAAAACGCAATTTTCGCTACACCTGTATTTCATCTTCAACGGGTTTAAGTTCTTACTCGCACTTAGAATTATTTTTACATACTACTTTGTTTCAAAATAACTATAAACAAACACCATAATATATAATCGTAACTGGAAAATCTACAGATTTTTATGTACTTCCAATTTCTTGCACACGCGACGTAGCACGTCTTATCGCGAGTTAGTAATTCCCTTCTGGTAGCCAGACCGCAACTGGAAGTGCCGGTGATGATAATCGTTTCATTAAGTCTATACGTACGTTGTCGTTCGACTTCGTTAATGGAAGTGGAACAGAAAAAGCAGGACATCTTTATTTGTACATTTACATTTATTTACATTTCATAAATAACGTGTAACTGTATTTTGTAAATCAATCATTTGTCAATGCTTTTTCGATAAATGTCTTTTCTTTTTTGAAATTTATGATCTATTTATTATTTTCAATTATAAAATTAGCACAAATAATAATTAGTTATTATTTTACATAAAAATATAATAAGCAAAAATTATAACACAATTATTATTATTTACATTGCGACATATTGTTTTATATTATATGTATATAATGTAATAATTCTACATTTTACATTAATAATTATTTAAATTAATTTTTGGTGACAACTAAACTTAGTCATAAATTATACTAAAAGTTATTCTTAAAAGATTACTCAATATTAATACATTTTAAGCAGAATTCTTGCATAGACTATATAGGTCGAGTATTTGTTCATATATTATATTATCACACTCTGCTAAAGATAGTTCAGTGCTGTCCTCCAGGTGATCAGGAAGACCGTTTTCATATTATCGGCGAACGCGATAACATAACTAGTGCAGTATGTAGTGTAAACTCTGCTTAAATACAAAATACTGACCGGTCGCGTTATAATCATTCACTTGGTAAGTCTGTTGACCCTAATCTGACAACTGTTAGAGGGGGCCCGTATCTATGCCTGTACATGCATAAATTTCCATTTCCGTACTCGAAACTTTGCAGCAAGTGAGAAAATTGCTTCCCACAATGTAAAGAAAGGATTTGTTACACAATGTGTAACAATTTTTACATAAATTTATCTTTATATTATATTATTTTTGTATTTACAGCTGATTTTATATTAATTTACAAAGATATTGCTAAACAAGCCTTAATCGTGATATTTTATAATTATATTATACAACAGATAAAAATATTAAATTTTATAATAAGAATACAAAATAGAATTACTTAAATTGTTGCAAAAACGTGGAATATAATTATTTTTTTAAATATGTGAAGTAGATGAATATTTTTTGTCTCTTTTATATTTATGCCGATAATAAATTATAAGCAACTACAATTAAATATCACATTAGGCATGAATATGTAATGTTATTCGCATGTGCGCTCATGTTTGTATATCATTAAAAACTACTGATTATATAATGGCGCTGACATGCATCATATATAGATAATATATATCTAGCTATAATTTATTAGATACAACATGTATGAGTAATAGTAATGATGATTATTGTATTATATTGTAGTAATTTATCATGATATGACAATAATGCAACTCGCTAACTAATTATATGTACTACAAATTAAACAAAACATATAATTTTCAAAATTCAGCTAATAAAGTAAATATTCCAGTGGCCGAGCTAAATATTAACTGACTAAATCATAGTAGAACACACAATTATTATTAAATATGAGGGAGAGTTAAAAAAGTAAACCTTAATATAAACAATGAAAAGCGATTGTATTAAAGTTACTTTTTGACTCTCCTTTGTATTTATAAATATAAAACTCACACAGAAATTTTATATTTTATCAAAAGACATGATTGTGTGCAAAATTCACGCGCAACGCGCAAATATCGTTTATTTTATTTATGACGTAATAGACAAGTAAAATATTATACACTATATTAGTTTCATTGCGCGAATAAATCGTTAAAAAATTAATTGTGATTTGGTTGAAATATTAACTGAATAAAGTTGAAATATAAGCTTTAATGAATTTTTGGTATGCATGTGCATGATATCTGATCTTTTGGAAAAAGAGCCAAAAAGTTATAATAAAAAAAATTAATACATTTGCGCTTTATTAGAATGTAATTCAATTTTAACTATTTGTTACAATCTAAATATATCATTCCATATAAATTTTGACATTTATTTTAAACTTTTCATAAAATTTATTGTTCATATAAAGAGGCTACAGTGCACATGCCAAAAATGTCTATTCACGGAATTTGGCTACAAACAATACAGTCATTCCTTATTAAAAATAATACAAATAATAATATACATTTAGATTCTGATATTTAGTGGCGCAAATAAATTTAGGAGGAATCACTGTTCTCAATAGCATGATTTACATACGTGGTAATCGGTAAGTATACACTTGGTTTTCATCGTTCAAATCATAATATCTCATTGTATTGAGTAAGTTTATATTTGATTAAATCTGGATAATTTAATGGTTTTTTTTTCTTTCTATTCTTTTTTTCTTTTTTTTAGACACGATTACGACAACTGGACTCGATTAAGTAACACTGGTTGGAGTTATGAGGAGGTGCTCCCATATTTTCTCAAGTCCGAAGGTAATCGTAATCCGCATTTAGCTACAACATCTTATCACAATACCGGGGGATACTTGACAGTGCAAGAGTCGCCATACAAAACTCCTCTAGCGACCGCTTTTTTTGCAAGCTGGACAAGAAATAAGCTACGAGAATCGCGACTTAAATGGTTTTAATCAAACCGGTTTTATGTTAACGCAAGCAACATTCGACGTGGCAGTCGATGCTCGACGGCAAAGGCTTTTTTACGACCAGTAAAAAATAGACCAAATTTGCACATAGCAATGAATGCTCAAGTTCTGATAGTGCTCTTTAAGGCCGAGAAGAGAGCAATGGGAGTAGAATTCTTTCGAAACGGCAGGCAGCAGATTGTAAGATGTAAAAGAGATATCATCTTGTCTGCCGGAGTGATTAATTCGTCTCAATTGCTTATGTTGTCCAATATTGGTCCTAGCAAGCATTTAACTCAGTTTGGCGTACCAGTGATATCCAATTTACAAGAAGTTGGAAGTAATCTTCAGGATTACGTGAGTTTTGGCGGTCTAACTTTTCTGAACAAACCAGTCACTCTGCTGAGGGATCGACTTCAGAGGTTATCGATGATACTCAAGTATATCGTGAAAGGGCAAGGACCTATGACCTATCTCTATCAACTCCGATGGCGATCAAATAAAAAAAAATCCTCGGACCGAGTATACAACACTATGTACAAACCTTTGCATGGCGTGAACACTTGGTCTACTCTGCCACCTCTGCTGCGGCCGAAGAGTACAGGATGGATCAGATTGAAGAGCAAAAATCTTCTGTTGTTTATCCGGAAATTAATCCCAATTATTTTACGCATAAAGAAGACATAGATGTCCTTGTGGAGGCAATAAGGTTGGCGGGTATCCAATACCAGCGCGTTTCAACGATTCGGTTCAAAGCCTCATACAATTCGTATGCCCGGAAGCCACACATATCAATTTGATAAGTACGAATATTGAGAGTGCGCCTTGCGGCATTTTACTTTCACCATGCATCATCCATCGGGCACCTGCAAGATGGAGCCGCGAAGCGATTTCATGGACTCGCGATTGAGAGTTTACGGAGTGAAGGGTCTCAGAGTCGTTGACGTTTCCATAATGCCAACCATCGTCAGCGGAAATACAAACGCGCCGATCATTATGATTGGTGAAAAAGCTAGTGATATTATCAAGGAAGATCAGGGGCTCAGATCCAACCGGAATCGGAACCGATAACCGTTCCATAACCGTTTGTTTTGATCAAATCGAAACTGTAACTGAACCGATATTTCGTTCACTTTGTATGTATCAAATAAAAATTGATAAAGTTTTGTGTAATATGATTAAGTTGAGTGCTATTATTATAACAATTTTTTTAATAGATGAAATATATGTGTGACTAGTTTTTTTTATAGATAAATTATAGTATACTGGACTCTATGTACTTTCTCTTTCTCTCTCTCTCACACATTTTTGTTTAATCGATACATATATACTTATATCTGTTTCTACAGTAACCGAATAGTCATGGCTGACTTTCAGCAGTGAGTTTAGACGTGTAGCATTAATTATACAAGATTGTCTAGCAAAATTTAAATATTATATCAAGTTAATCTGATAAAAAGATGGTCGACGTGCCGTGCTCTTGCAGTGACACAAAACTTCAGGATTATCAAAACGAGAAATCGTCCGCGCTTGGTCCACGCACTGACGAGATTTACCGAACCTCCAATCTTCCATCAAGATTTATATATCCAAGTGAGTTTTCAAAAAATAATAAATATTAATGTTTTAAATAATATTTTATTTAAAATTGAATTCTTAAAAAGTATTATTTAAAATAATACGAAAACGCTCAGCACATGTATAAAAATATATATGTAGATCTCATTTCTCTTGGATACAGAACGTAATAAAATTGTAGATACAACTGCGTAATATGACGCAGTTTGTTTTTTTTTTTCTCTTTCAATTGAATTTTTCTCTTTCAATCTCTTTCAACTGTTTCGTAAATCTGGCATTTCTCTCACGCTCACCGCTTATACATATTCTATTTTATTTTTGAAATGTTTTGTATTATCCGTATCATCATATAATCTGTATTTTTTTAATATGAAGGGAATGAAAAATAATATAAATATTTTGAATTACAGTAAAATAATATTGTTGAACTTTCTCTGTGATGTAATATAAATGCATTAAAGTCAAGTTGATTATTATTGCTGCACAAATGACATAAAAAGTGAGTGCTTATTGCAGGACTACTTTTTTGAACATGTTAGTGGAAAGATTAATTGCAGGTATAAGAATTTCTCTCGCACGAGAATACGTTGTTTCACTATAGATTCTGCTCTAGAAGGCGCGAGTAGCTGGCACGATAACGTTCTTCTATTAATAAGCTGACGCAGCCGATCACTGCACCCATTGAATCTTATCTGCCACCCAAGCATTTTTATGCATATACCAATGAATTCTTCACAAGTAACCCGTTTCGAATCGTACACAAAGTTAGATATGTATGAACCGAATGGCGCCTGAATTCTTTATCGTTGTACATTGCAACGTCTGAAATCCTGATACGGTTTTGTTATTTGTCATCGACAATTCTTATCTTTTTCCGGTATACAGATATATCGGCCATTGTACCGCGAAAGATGTAATTTCTAGAAAACATTAAATTATTAATATCAGAAAATTTTTATTGACATCCATTTTCTTTTATTAAATCTTTATGTTATGTGATATAAATTTTTGCGAATTATTATAATATATAATAATTATATTAAACCGTTATCAATAATAGTAATAAAATATCATTATTTTATTATTATTATTATTTTCATCATTCAATATAATTATTATAATATATAATAATTATATTAAACCGTTATCAATAATAGTAATAAAATATTATTTTATTATTATTATTATTTTCATCATTCAATTACATTTAGAAGATAATTTTAAGAAATATGATATTACGTGAAAACGTGAAAATTTTTTTAAATACAAAATATTCATCTACCAATAATTTTAATAACAAAAAATATTGATATTACAGCCAATATAACAAATACTTATTTATCTAAATTAATGCTATGAATGTTAATTAAATTTAACTAATATTTAATATTGAGAAATCGTTTAATTAAATTTCTCTGGCTTAGTTGCAGCTGTCGATTAATCTACTTTTAATGGAATTTATACATAATTACTAATATGTTTCAAAAAAGAGTTATCAAAAGAGCGTGACAAGCGCGGATAGTTTATAAATTAATTAAGTTCGAGATAACACAAGATACGTCGTGCATATAGAGCATGCATACAAGAATATTGCCGATATCTCACTCGCACGATATCTCACAAACGTCATGCCGCGCCATGTACGCGAAGAAACTCTCAACGCGCACGAGGTCAGTGCACATCCAGCCCCCGAGCACACCATGTGCTTCCTTCTTCTCATTTATCTTCTCTTATCGGGCAACGTCGCGGATGTTTTCACGGAGGAGGCCGACTGTCAGGTCTACAACCACCTGTACGTCTGTCTGGAGAACGGCGGCGTGCTACACGGCGTCGCGTTCGAGGATGTCGACGCCGTGCAGACGATCGAGGACATCGAGCTACACCTGGAGAACCTCGGGATCGCTGACATCGCCAGGAACGCCTTCGCCGAGGTCAGCAACTCGTCCGCTCTCTACGTCCGTGATAATCGGCTGTCGAGCATCAACCGCGATTACTTCGCCATTCTTGATCAACTCACTTTCTTGGACCTGAGGAACAACACGATCGTCAGTATAGAGCAAGGCGCGTTTGCGAGGCTGAACGATCTGGAGACGCTACTGCTGGATCACAACGACATCTCGACTTTCCGTCCCGGCGTGTGGAAGGGTCTCTCCGAGTTGCATGAACTGTACGTCACCCACAATCGACTCACGTTGAGGAAAAACATGTTCAAGGGACTCAGGCAGCTGGAGACGCTGGTTCTGGACTCGAACGACATACCGGAGATACCGATCGGCGCGTTCAACGGACTGTCGCACATAGACCTTCTCTATCTGTCGCGTAACAAGCTCTCGCATCTGCATGCCGACGTGTTCCGCGGCCTCAGTGAGATAAACGAGCTCGACTTGGGCGGAAATCAACTGACGGCGATTCCCGCCGGTATTTTTCGGCACATGAAGTCGCTGAATTCGCTCTGGCTGAACGGCAATCGGTTAACGACGCTGAAGCCCGACGTCTTTCAGGGTCTGGACAATTTACTATTTCTGTTTCTCAACAACAACGATTTCCGTTACGTGAACATGGCAGCGTTCGCGAGTATGAGAAACGTGACTGTCGATCCTGGCTTCAAGATACGCGGCTCGTTAGTGCACGACTTCGGCAAAATACACGGTCAATATCAATGCAGTAGTGTTGCGTATCAGATACCATATGAGTGTACGGAGATTGATTCATAGACTTGAGAAAAGAGTTTGTGGAGAATCTGACTATATTGTAAAAAAATGCAGTAAATTTGGACGAATAATAAATGTAATATTATCTTAAATAATTTATTATTGACAGCTGCAACTAACATTAAGTTTCCATTATAATAGATTGTAATAAAAACTTTTATTACCTAATTTTTAATTAAATTTTGTTTAGCTAACTGCTAAAAACTTACGGCAAATTGAGTTTTTTGGGGAAAAAAGTTCTAAAAAAAAATCGAAAGGAATTAGTTGTAAAAAATAGATGATATTCAGTTGCATATAAATTGTCGGAAAGAAAAAAAAATATTAATTTTTAAAAATTTTATTAATAATGAAATATATATAAACACACACGCACAAAATACACAATCGTAATCCTGAAGAAAAAAAATATATTTTGATGTAAAGTTATGTGGAAATGTCATAGAAAATTCTGCATTATTGCGACACGTTTTTATTGGTTATTATTAATTTTCGCAGGCATTTTTAAAGGTTACGGTCAGGACAATCCCCCTCATCCCTGCTACACGAAAACTTCCATGGATTATGGCTGGTACGCACCGACAATTCATACAGTGCCGACGATTTATTATCCCCGAAACAATTCTTTTAGTACTGAGCACGGCCGCGCGGGAATGTACAGAAATTGTTCTCTCAACACAGAACTTGACAAGTCGTTGTTTTAAATTTTATCGCATTTTATAACTCGTTTAATCTGCTTTTAATATGATTATAATAATAGGATGTTTAATGTGCAATTGAAGTATCAATATTTTCCGATACTTCAGATACAAATCAACACTTTATACAATATTTTGATTTTTATAGAAATTATTAATTTACATCTGTAATCACTTTTTAGATGTATTTCGGAATAAAGATTGAAGACGGTGATAAAAGTTAAAATTTATCTCCAAGTGTAGATTTAATCATCTAACGCGTTAAAATGGTTTTTTACCTTACGAGAGGTCTGACAGTAAAATTCTCAAACCTATTTCTTATTTCTTCTTTTATATGTATTACTCTGACGATCAGCTGTATATCGTTTATTTTTACCTTCAAAGTAATCTTTTTATGATGCAATACATAAAGCTTAGTTTTTTTTACGCTCAATAACATTTTCTTGGATCTTTTTTTTTTCAGGATTACTTTTATAACTATCGTCTTCAACGTCGTCAAAATAACTTTCTTTTCTTATCTTTATAAACTCCATGTGTTATTTTACAGATCTTATATCCATTTTTATTAAATATTAAAACTTTACTGAAAATTTCGCATTTGCCCTTTGCTCTAATACTTTGTCTATCGTATCAACTGTTTGCTAAAATATAAAGACATATTATTACAATAATTTCTCCGCATTAATACCAGATTACTGATTATTCTTAAAAATTGTGTTATAACTGTATTTGCGAACTTACTTATCAGATTTCATATAGAAGTATGGCGTTAATAAGGATACCGCTCTAGGATTGTTGAGGATTTCGATGCTAAGACGCTAGGGTGAAGAAATAACAACGTGCGAGTGATTTTACGCTTATACGTTTTTATTATTACAGTTCAGCTTACGTGTCGCATTAAACATAATGATGTAACAGATTCTACATCGGGGCTTTTTCGAAGTACATGACGCCCCGTATCTAACGCATATGCAGGGTCTCGATTTATTCCATGGCTGCATTACCACTGCCGCAATTATTATTGACGATTAATATTATTTCGTATTTTTTTTTGTTTTTATTATTGATGCGATTCATCTATACGCAATCGCCTAATCGTTAATTGGAAAAGAAACATTGCGCGTACACAGTGTCGTAACGATTACACATTAATTATTTGTAACACCTCGCGGTTAAAACACCTCGATACTCGCGTTAATCGCTATGTTTCACATTAATGTGGTAATATATTTGTAATGGTAACTCCAATGGCAACATAACATATATATAATATATATTTATGTATATATAACATAATGGACATTTATAGTCGCGTTCTATTGTTTTAACACATTTAAGAGTAAGACTTAATTGTAACAACCATAATGACTAGGAAACATTGGAAATGTTTTATAATCTATTATGGCAACAGTAATGTGGGATGAATAATGATTGATACATTTATATGTATATATATATTTTTTTTTATTATTTAGAAGACTCTTGCGACGTGTGAAACTCTATGTGTTCGCGTTAATTGCTATTGTTTTATTGATATCTTTGTTCGGTTAATTACCGCCATGCAAACTGCTCCACGAAAACGTTACCATATCTATTAACCGTACAGTGAAAGCTCAAGAACACAAAAAATTATTCATAATTTTGCGTCCCTGTTTATCATCAAATCACAAAGAGATGATTAGACATGAAAACTAAATAAAAAGATTTGTCGCGATGGATTACCATTTCACGATATACAATCGAAGTCTTAATTAGTAATCGTTTTCTTGACAGAACTTGTTTGGACTCTTTTTATCTTTGTTAGATAAAAGTCCAATACAAAGACTTTATATTTACCTTACCTAAAAAGGCGCAAATACTGTAATTTGCGCCAGTAATACAACGCCGCAAAAATTCAAGGATAAAATCGACAATCTTATCCGATTATTTTTCGATATTTATCGGATATTTTGGATCATACGCCTTTATATAAGTAGCACACGTTAGGCAAGAAAACAGCATGTTTCGATTTTATATCTTGCTCCGAAAATGATCTACTCTCTACTTCTACATCTCATTTTGTCGACTATCGCGAAAAAGATCTTGACGATCAATGAAACACCGATCACGATGCTCGCTGCCGATCGCACTTTTCGTCTACGAAAGTGGCTTAAATAGATGGAATTTTCGAGTAAACGGAACATTAAATATATTTATCAGCACAACCAGTTTCACGTTTCCGTAAAATCCTCCCAAGATATTACAACATATTTAATTATTCAGAAGCAATCTCGGGCCGCTTTCAATCTTTGATCAAGTAACGAGTTCGATCGCAACGAGCATCTCGATGTACATTCAACGGTTTAACGGTTGCATATAATAGCAATAATTACAGGTCTGTATGTGTCTGCATTTATATTTGTCTTTAAATTTGTATATATTTATATATTATTTATACTCTGCATATATATTTATACACGTTCTCGTTAATATTGTACTACACTTCTTCGCATACCCTTCACTAGAGGCTACGAATTATTAATTAATTAAATTCTTTAGGTTTGGTATATGCTTGAAAAGAGCTCCTTAGAGCTCCTTCAAATTCCTATAGATAATCCTTAGTAATTAACGATGACAGATAGAACTCGCATTTTATGTGTGTGATTTAATCCTCCTCCCTCATCGCACTTACGCCGTACTTATACAGATTTTCATCATACGTTAAGTGATAACTAGCGCACGCTGATCTACGCGGCGCACTACTTAAACGTTGCTCTACATGATCTTTCGATCCTTTTTTCCCTTTCTTTGTTCGCTCACGTTTCTCTACCATTCAGGACTCGTTCTATTGATTCGTTGTCCTCTCAATGATCGCTAAAAATACTTATGATCTTAAGTACCGTTAAGAGTTTTTCATTCAAATGAAACGCGTCAACTCACGCGCCGCCGGGACGTTCGCGATTCCTTCGACCGCGCTTTTATCGTAATTTATATTTTTATCAATTTTATTCTTGAGATCGGAGAGGTCAATTGTGCAATTTTTTATCAAATCTTTCTGATTTTTACTTCAAATCACTTAAAAATAAATAAATTTTATACCAAAGAAATTTTTCTCTTTGGAAAGATTATATAAAAAATATTTTTTAACGATAATAGGCTCTTTAATTAAAAATCAGTAAGTTAAAAGGCCATTAAAAGCCATAAGCACGTTTATTTGTGCACAACTTAAATGCATTTTAATCATCAACAATATCAAATAAAAAATTTGGGCTCTATATTAGGCCATCTTCAATAGCAGTGCACAATATTTTCCAGTAATATGTTCCATGAATATCGTAAAGTTTAAGCGCGCAAGCCCACGCATGATATAAATCAGAGATCTTAGTCCTCTACGATTAATTTATGTCATGCAACACATTGCCATATAATTGCACACTACTACTAAAGAGAGCTTAAACTGAATTATTAATAATTAATAAACATATTAAATTTCTGTAATATTGCTACAAATCCAAAAAAAACCCTGCTATATTTACTGAATATATCTCCGAATTAATATACCTCGCATTTTCTCCCATCGCATTCGAAATTATCACGAGCCGTAACGCATCATCCCTTTTTGTATTGTCATCATCCATTGGTACTTTATCATTTCTTTTTTCCGCACGTACTTCGCGCGTGGTGATGTCAGAAGTCATCACCGCTGGCATTCAACCTCGATTCAAGGTTCGTCGAAACCTCGACCGCCGCGTGAATGTCAGCCGATTCGAAAGTCACGACGGTTTCCGCGCACGTGGCGGCCGTCGAGTCGATCGTGGACCTGGATTCAACCCTTTCTCCCATGTGGGTGGTCCGTTCGCGGGCATCGAAGCGTTACGATTCTCCCTTTCTCTCTTAGGATGCATGATCAATGCGCCCGCGCTCAGTGAGAATCATTCGCTTGAGAAAGCGCGACGATCACGGCCGCTCTTTCGTCGACGCTTCATTTCTACTAATCTACGAATAATTTGTTCTACATTATGTATACGTATTTTTATATATATATAT